ACACAGGTATTTATTTTATTCGTGTCCTCTATGGAGTCCCATGTTAATTTCTGCACAGCCTCTTTGATCAACGTCTAACAATTTTCTTTTGGTTTTCATCATTAATTAATACTATTAATAGCATTTACTTAGCAGATGTTTGGCTCTAAAGTCTTCCAATAAAATTAAGCATAAATTTCAGATCTAACCACAGTCTGTTGTTTTCCTTTTGGCATCATTTAATTATCATTCTCTAGTTTTCTGTATCTAACCCAAACCTGAAAGCAGAGAAATATTGTATTTTGCTTTGTGAAACATCTCAAGCATCTTTAGTGTCTTTTGTTGGTACCATGAAGATACCCCAAATTACTTCCTACTTCTTTTAAATTGTCTTTCTACACTCCTTTGCATGCAAATTGTTAGCTTAGTTTTCTGAAAACAACCTTTTAAAAAAGTGTATTTTTAGAAGTATAGAAATATATTTTAAAATACTTCAAGTTAATACACTGACAAGCAGTTCAACATAAGTTTTGTCCAATTGCTTTAGCAAAGGTTTATGATCTTGCTGTAGTTGTACAACTCTGAATTTTCGTGGAAGCTGTTCTTCTAGTTAGGCACTCAGCAAGGAGCCTTCTTGAGAGAAACGTTAGTCTACTCATCAAAGTTAAGTGTATTAGGAACACTGGTACATCTATGCACTTGACTGTTTCCTAATTAGATTGTTATACCAAACCTGCTTAAAACCTCAGGTGTTTTGATTTTTTCTTTTTCTTGTTAACATGTGAATTTTTAGTTGCTGTTAGGCAGTGCAGGTTCACAATGACTGTTGTAAATTAATTGGCCAGGAAACTAGAGATGAAGGAGATGATGAAAGTTAGAGCAGGACTAGAAGAAGGAGACACAAAGATGATCATGAACTCCTCTCTTACGAAGAAAGGCTGTAGGATCTGGGTTTGTTCAGTTTGGAGAAGAGAATGCTCTGAGGAGACCCCATTGTGACCTTTCAGGATTTAGAGGGAGCTTATAAAAGTAACGGAGAAAGACTGTTAAGGTGTGTAGTGTGAGGACAAAGTGCAGTGATCTTAAACTGAAAGCAGTGATTTGGGTTAGATAGCTGGAAGATATCTTTTGCAGTGAGGACAGTAAAGCATTGGAAAAGGTTGCCCACAGAAACTGAAGATGACCCATTTCTAAAAGTGTGCAAGGCCACACTGGATGGGGCTTTGGGCAACCTGGTCTAGGGTAAGGTGGCCTTGCCCATGACAGGGTTTGGAACTGCATGGACCTTGAGGGATCTTCCAAACCAAATCATTCTGCACTTCTGTGATAAATCTTCGTTAATTTGCTTCACCCAAACAACTGATCTTTCTGCTGATTATATGCTAACGATATAAACATGAGAAAAAAAAATATCCAGAAACTCTTCATCTATTTCTAAGGCAGTGCTGTTAAGCAAACTTTGATATGTTTAAAAGTTTAGATTTCAGGGTGAAATATTTTTATGCCATTCAATAATAATCAATTAATTTTGTAGAGTTAGCTAGTTAGAAATCCAATTCAAATGCTACTGAGTATGTAATTCTGTCCAATAAGAACACATAAAGTGGGTGAGATTGAGCTGATGTTCTTGTTTATTCAGGAGTTTGGGATCCTACAAAGCTTGAGACCTCAGGATATCACCAGCAGGGCAAACGCGGGCATCAAATCTGCTTAAAGGCTAGGAGCTCCTCAGGGTAGAAAAGGATGGCTCCCCATGCTTCCACAGCTGAATCAAGTTCTGTTGTATCACAGAATGAAAAACAGATTCTGCACAACTGGAGTAGCTTATTTTTTTTTGTTTCTAAATGTTTTCCCTCTGATTCCCATAGGAAGCGTGTTGCGAAATGGAGACTATTTTTCTTTCAGCTTGCAGTTTTGTGCTACATCTGTTACTTTTTCCTGTAATTTGAATTTTCCTTCTGGGATGAAAAAAAAAAAAAAAGAAAAGAAAGAAAAGAAAAAGAAAGAAAGAAAGAAAGAAAATAACAATAAACAGAATCACAACCTGTGGTGGTAAATAATTTGGACAGGTAAGCTGTGTCATCATGTCAGAGCCATTTTTTCCTATTCTTATGTTTTGCAAAAAGTAGGTGACAGAAAATTTCCATTGTCTACTACACTGTTGCCCAGAGGGCAGGGGATAAACTTTGCAGTCATTTAAGTCTACAAATGGTTCATAAGGCCAGACTATCATCTTACTCCTGAGAAAATGTTTTGCATTGTCAGAAGGGTAGTTTGGATGCAAATGTTCTCATCACTGGGATCTGCCATTTTATGCCATTTTATTATCACATATCTGTGATGTATAATTACAGCTCTATCCTCATAGTGACAGTGGAAAGCAACTTCAGTGTCTTCTTTTCAAAATAATAAATACTAGCTTCTATTTCTCTGGAGCTACATTATATGGAGTACATTTATTTTGTGCAGTGTTGCACATGTGAGGCTCTAAAGCAAAGAGGCTGTTGTTGGTGATCAGTTCTACAGGCATACAGGAAATAAAATGATTAGAATGCTGCACATTTGTTGTTAAAATATAATTAAACTAAATTCTCATATCTTATTTTCTTGTCTATTGAGAATTTAATTTTGGAATTCATGCATGAATTTTAGGCCAGTATAGAGTTTTTTTGTTATCCAGATAATTTGTGTGAAATATCTAAAGCTAAAACTGCAACAACCACATCAGCAGCCCATGGCTGTCTTTTTCTTCACATAAGTAATTTTTTTTTCTGTGATCCTGTATGGTTATAATCCTGTACTCTGAGGGAAGTATCATTATAAAAAATAGAGGGAAAAAAAGTTCTATTGGAATAGCTAATTGCAGAAGAAACCCAGATATTAACATGTTTTAGAATCTGATACTGTAATATAGGCCAATCTGTGGTCACATATAAAAGCCTTAAAATGCTTCTTTGTTGAGCATCCTTACAGATGTGTCTTTCCTTTCTGTCTTTTCCTACAGCTTTTTGGTGATTCTTTTTTATTTCTTTTCTTTCCAGTGATTTTCTTTGGATTATATTGCATCAATTCATTCTCAAGTGAAAAAGCCACACCTACAGCAGGATAAAATTCAGTAGGGCACTTAGCCATGTACAGACAGATCACGATATTGACAAAGATCCATACTAAACTTGAAGAAACTTGCTTGAATTTTTTGCCCAGAGCATGAGTCTTCTGTTGTTTTCCCTTTCATTTTGAAAAGTTCTCTATGCCTTGTTTAGATATACCAAGCAACGTGATGAGTTCTTTCTCCTCTAAGCTCACTTTCTTCCCATGATTCTGACACTGCCTTAGCATAGACTTAGTTTATCTGTCCTTGTTCTGAAATTTCTGAAAGGAGTCACACAGTATACCCTGGAGGATGTGTTTGAGATCTGATGGTAGCCAGAATTCCACCATGCCTTGCATCTTTTAGACAAACATTTTAAATCCTAATTATCTGGTGAATTACATATCTGGCTAAAACAGAAAATGAAATGAAACAAGGTATTGGGCTTTGAATTTTGTATAAATTAATTCTGTCTCTTGGATAGAAATGGGAATGTTTTTCAAAGATGTTTTTGCTCTTTATGGGAAGAAAGAATGCACTACTTTCTATAAAGTGAGTTGCTGCATATGAATTTTTACAGATTTAAAAATACCCAACTTGTAGTTACAGCATAAAGGCAGGAATCTGGAAAGGTCTTTCATTCTATTGAGTTTTTATATTAATTATTCACAGTTTTGATGTGAGCACAGAAGTTAGCACAGACTTGAGCAAGTGAACTTGCTGCCTACAGTAATAACTTTTACCACTTTTTAGCCTATAATATGGCTATACTCCCACAAAATAGGCTTAATTTGAAATCAAGAATATTATGACAATATCAATGATAGCAAGAAGTAAAAATGAAAAACTGAAAGGGATGAGGAGGATGGTGGGAGGACGAGAAGTGTGCGGCCTTAGGCGCTCCCTCCACGACATCACTGGTGCACCATGGGGACCCCGATCCATGGCGTGAGCTTTATGTTACTGAAATGGAGTTAACTAATAACACTTCCACGCCTGTGATTATTTTATTTATATCATTTTAGGAAATACTTAGCTCTTGTGCCGTTCATTAGTTATCCTCAGGTTAAAACCGGTCATTCAGCTTAATTTTAACTCAACTTTTGAGTTAAAATCAGTTTTCAAGAAGGACTTTTGACTGTCACTTGACAAATTTTGGTTATCTATATTGCATGTCCTATATAAAATTGAGTGGAAGAAGAAATCTGGAAGACTATAAGAGATATGTGTTGTAGAAGTGAACAAAGTGGAAAAACTAGTGGTAAAAGGAGGTTATAGAATAAAACATATGAGCTAATAAATGCTTTCAACTTAGAAAACAAAGCTACTTTTCCTCTCTTCTGCAGTAAATGCTATTTCAGAATTACTTCAGAGCATAACAGATTATAAGTAAAATTCATAAGAGCAGATAACACAGTCTTAGATGGGAGGATAGTTGCATCTCATTGCCTTATGTTAAACAAATATTCAGGAAGCAATTAACCAAGCTTTACATTGTAGACACATAATATCACTGATACAGGGATGCATATGCAAACACCTCGATTGTGAGAAAGGTCGGAACTAAAAAAAGTCTCTGCAGTAGATTCATTTAAGAAGGCACATGTATAAGCTGAAGTTAAATAGTTCAATCTCCTCCTGCACTGGAAGGTTTACTTTTCATGAGCAGTGATATTGCTAAGTAAACCCTGGAGGGGAAGAAATGGAATTTCATTCCGGAGTGTTTCAGGATTTCTTTCTTCCGTATTCAGTTGTTAAGCTAGCAAACTACCTCTCCTTATTATCATCATTTAGAAAAATAAAAACAGCTTTAAAAATGTGCTACTTGGGATCTGGGAAAGACAAAACTGCTTGCAGAGGGTACTTCTGTATTTCTGTGCCTTTGCTGAAGCATGCTTTTCTCACTGTTTTTGCTCTGACTCTTGTGTAGGTGGTTGACCAGATCGACACGCTGACATCTGACCTGCAGCTGGAGGATGAGATGACAGACAGTTCCAAAACAGACACGCTCAACAGCAGCTCCAGCAGCACAACAGCCTCCAGCCTGGAGAAGGTGAAGGTGCGGGGCAGTACTCCACTCATCAAGCCCCCTGTGCATCCCTCTGCTATCCTCACCGTGCTGCGGAAGCCAAATCCTCCTCCACCGCCTCCACGACTGACACCTGTCAAGTGTGACAAGCCTCTGAGGCCACCTCCTTTGGCCAACCCTGTCAAGACTAATGGTACCCTGCTGCGAAATGGAGCCAGCCGTATCCCAAATGGGGATTTGTGCTGCATACCAAACAGTAATTTGGACAGTGTTGCGATCCCACCTCTAATGCACAGACCTGAGAAAGAGCGGTGTCCTCAGGCAGGAGCAAGGGAACGGGTACGATTTAGTGAAAAAGTGCAGTATCACGGCTATTGCCCAGACTGTGATGTTCGATATAGCATTAAAAACAGGGAGGTGCACTTGCACAGCGAGCCTGCCCATCTTCTGGGAGCGCTGCCTCATCAGTGCCCTCCTCTGCCACCCCCACCGCCTCCGCTGCCTCCGTTTCCTCTAGAGAATGGAGGGTTGGGGATAAGTTCCAGTAACAGCTTTCCTCCTCCGAGACCTGTTACTGTGCCTCCACAAACTGCACCAAAACCCCAGAAGACCATCTTGAGGAAGTCGACCACTACAACAGTGTGATGTATGCCACTTGAAAAAAACTCTGGTTTTTTCATCTATATAAACATAAATAGGTAATGAGCACTTTCTACTTGAGCAATAAAAAGACCCAGTGTATTACTCCCAGTGTATCCAGCGAAGTGGCATAAAAATCACACGGTAAGTAAAGAGAAGAATTTTCTTTTGGTCACCATAAAATGCCTTTATGGCTGAAAAGGATGCTGAAAAATACGCATGATTTAGCTGACGGGTTGTAAACTTCTGTTGCAGTTTCCTATCTGCAGCACTGTTTAAAAGAAAGTGGAAAGAAAGATCAGTTTGAAAGTACAGAGTGCTGATTCCTGTTAGATTTTCGTCTGTCCAACTTAATGGAGTAAGCATTGCTGCTGAATTCTGGGAAGCTTTCTGTTTCCAGCCGCTGTGCTTTAAAATGCCATTTGACAAAACAAAGTGGAGTGGCAGATAACGCTTTTGACTGAATTCTAGCAAAGACATTTTTCTCTGCCTCATTGCTTGAGTGAAGGCACTGTGTGTGGAGCCATTCAGTAGGAAGCAATCACCGGACTTTCAGGCAGCTTGACCTTTGGTGAGGGAGTAAAGAAGTAATTGAAAGGTATGTCGACATGTCTTTGCAGAGCAAAATCATCTTGCAGTGTGTTTCTCACTTGCTCAGTGTGCCACAGCCAGGGAGAATGACAGAGCTTTCAGGAGAGCAAGGACTGTCCCATTCAGTTCCCCTGTGCTTCCTCTGCTTCCATCTGCAGAGCAGTGGTAATATTTTATCTCGCTCGTGTCCTGCATTTTTTACAAAGCTTTTGTCTGGTGCAGATCTCTTTTTGAAGGCGAAGAAAATTTTGCCTAAGGTCTTCAGAGACATCCACTTAATTCATTTAAAGAGCTTTGTAGTTGAAAAGCTCTATACCAATTACAAAGCATTAACATGCAAAACAAGATATTTTACATGCTATCACATTTTGATGGTGAACCCAATTAATATCCTTACTAGATGAAAAAATTCCTCAGTGTTTTAAATTATTTTATGAAAGGACGTTCTTTTGTTCTTACAAAGAGAATAGTTGGTACCTGAAGTTAAAACCTGTCTGATCAGTGAAGAAGATGTGATTATATATCTGTTATGTACAAAAATTGTGCCTAATTAAGCTCTCAAATGGCCCGGCAGCAGATGCTTTATAAAAGCACTATGTTTTTTTTTTTCCACTGAATTATAAAACATACTCTATGGCTTCATCCAGGTTAGCTTTCTTGGGTCTTATGAAAGAAAACAGGTTTTTTTTTTTTTTTTTTCTTTTTTTTTTTTAATTGAAATTTCTATTTGAATGCAGTAATAAGAATTTAAAGTAATAAAGAATAAGCATTTAAGCTAAAAGCCCATCATCAAGCCATGCATAATTTCCCTCTATACAGATGATAGTACCTTTACAGTATTTATAATATGAATAATCAGAACAAAAATGTTAACAGATTGAAACCTGTTGAAAACTACAGTGAACACATCGTGTGTTGTGTGGATACTCATCTAGGGTCTGACACTGCAATTTACATTACCTGTATAGAAGTGGCAGAGCAAGGGCATCGTCGCAAGTGCTTAGTCATGAATGCACCAAGTGCTCCCCACATGCTTTTCATGATGCACTTTGCACTCTGCATTGTTTGACAACATTTTATCTTACGGGAGCTGTTGCCAAGTAGAACCCAGGCAGGAGTAAGCAGCAAACCAGTTCTGTGTGTGCTTGAAACCTGTACTGCCTGGGTGAGGGTTCTGCTGCATGGATTAAGCACACGCCTTCCCTGGCACACTGGAATATTGCATTTGAAGTCATCCAAGCAGTGTGGGGACTAACCCATGAACCTATATTGCAAAACTATGGTTTCTACTCTGAAAACTTTGGTTGTTGCGATGCCTTTGTCACTCCTGTGGGGAGCATATGCCAAATCTTTTAAGCAGTTTAATAACTTTTTCCCTCTTAAAAGAACTATCTTATACAAGAACTTATTGCATAATTCCATGTTTAATATAAAATATTTGTATCGTGTTAAATTTAGAAAAATAACAAAGTAGTCATAGGAGAGTAAATTGCACATCCTACCTCATTTGTCTCAGTGTTTCACAGTATGGACTGATCTCTGATGGCCGTGCAAGTATTTCTGCTCTAAGATATGCCCTGTGCTCATCAGAAACAACATACTGGTATCTCCAGATTAGGTACTGTGCTATATGGCTATGCTATGAAGTACATCCAAGTGTCCGTTTCATTGCACTGTTTTGATTACACTCCTCAGGTAAGGAAACCTTAAGTGACATCTAATTTTCAGCACTGCCTTTTGTTTTCTGCTGGTTAAATTGAAGTATTCCATACTTAGTTTTGGTCTCCTGCATGTTCCATCTCTCACCTTGTCCCTTCTTTATTCTCTATTTCCCCAAGACACATTCATACCCTTTTGCAAACTACTACCCTTATTTGTGCATTTTAACAGAAAAAAAAGAGTACTGTGCTAAAGACAGTATGCAGCTTTTCAAATGCAATGCTGCTTTTGGACAAGGGAAAAAAAAGAAAAAGAAAAAAGCTTCAAAATGTGTTTTTTTTTTTCTGCAATGTTTGCTAATCCAATCTTTTTTTAATGAACCAACACATCTTGCCTGTTTTCTGTTCATCATGCTACCAGAGATGAACCAATTCTTCTGTTCTAATGAGAACATCTCTGGCCCTTGTCCTGCTGTGAAGCATATTTATCAGCAGAACAATTTGATCACATTAACATGGCAGAATAAAATTCAGGCTAACGCAAGTAAACTTGCAAAGCGTGGGCATCAACATTTAACTTACGCAGCACTGTCTGGAAAACTCTGATTAAAACAATTTAAGAAATAATGCAATGCTTCATTCACCTGGAAGTGATTTTTGCATTTAAATTAGGAATGTAATCTCTGTGAACCATTTTTAAATGCATGTAACATGTCGTGTTTCACTCTTGAGGGAAACACAATAAACCAACCAGAACCAGACAGCAGTTACGTGTCCTAGAAACTTAAAGGCAACATCTTCGGGGTGATATTTAATGTTCTACAGAGATGTTAGTAGCTTGTATTTCTGTGCTGAAATTTATGTTTTATATTCTGAAGAACTGAAAGTACAGTAACAGTATTCAGATCTTTAATGCCATGTTTATCACCATTTCAGAGTGCTGCTCTGCTTTGATTCCCCAGTAGTATTTTGAACTCTGAATTGTCTGGTTCTAGATATCTCAGAGGCAAACAGAATGAGAAGATGTTTTCTATCAATTTAATTAAGGTGGCAAGCTTAGAGAGATGGAAACAAGCAGTGTATTAATTCGTAATAATAGCATTTATTGACAAGCTGCTAGCACAGGGATGCTTAGGAAGAAGGGAACATCAGGACACTAAAATTAAGGACACAGTCCATTTTAAGGCTCTCAGGTAAGACTCTTAAAAAAGACTGCTGATCTTTTTATTACTTTATAAACATTTCTGTCTTCTCTCTGTCTTCTGGAGTTGTTGCCCCCTCCATCACAGATTTGCTGATCATTGTCCATTGTCCACAGAAACAAGGAACACCTCCAAGGCTTCAACCTCCTTTCCGGGTTATAAAATCAGTCTTTTATTCGAAATGTTACATGCAGTAGAGTATAGCTCTTGTTACTTCCTTCACATGACTTGATTATTGGTTTTGAAGCAAGCAGATTACAGTGTGTATTCTTTAATTACCAGAGGGAGTTGTGTATGCCCTCTAGGCCTTCGGAGATCTCCTTGTTACCATGTTCTAATGATGGCTTTTATTTCAGTGAGACCACAAACAGTAATTTAACATGTGGAGATATGGCCATGCTGTGATTTCTGCCTTTCTCTGCTGATATACTTTTAAAGTAGGCATGAATAAGGGGCACATATTTTTTCAGAGGCTGCATTTCTCGTTCCCAGCTTTTGTCCATGTTGTGTTCCACACCTGGCTGGAGAACATATGAAAAATATTTAACCACTGGTAAAACAAACACAGTTTGGAGTTACATTTCTATATTTCAAACTAGTAATAATAATTAAAGCATAAGCTTAGAATGAGGTAAGATTGGGTACGTAAGACGGGCACAAAGGCATGCAGTGGAAGACACACACATGGTCAGCTGTGCTAAGCACAATATTTGGAACGCCAGCTGAGAAGAATGCTTGGCAACTCCTGTGTAACCACTGAGTATTTTCAGGGCAGTGTGTGGCATACTGCACTGCAGCCTACCAGTCACTGTGCACTGCTGGCACCCGATGTTGCAGCACACTGCACTGCATGCAGGCTACAGTTCAGCCTCATCTCTGTTGAGCAGCAGTTGTGTGATGTGCTTGTGTGGAGCTTGTTTGTTATATTTGGGAAAAATTGGCAGAAATTTTACTTTGCTGCCTGTTTTGTAGTGGAGAAAAGCCCTGAGGTGGAAAACAGTCTCCCCCAGATTAAGCTTTACAAAATATCTGCACCAATCCATTTGGGGGGAGCTCAGGAGATTTTGTGCAAGATGCTGACGTTCCTGATCTGAAGGGATTTGATATATGCTTAGTGCTCTTGTTATCTGATGCAGAAGCTGCTGGGGTAAATGGCCAAACGTCCTGCTGCTCACATCAGCCTCTGCAGCTCCCTTTGTGTTTCCACAGTTGTTCATGAGTGGCAGTCCCAGTGCTGTGGGGCCTGTCATGTTTTGTGAGGAAGCTGCAGCACACACACAGCTGTCATTTGGGCTATGTTATCCTAGTTCTGTTATCAGCTGTGGCTGTGGCAGTGTTAGCTTGCTCTGTGTTTTCACAGAATTACTATGTTTGGAAGAGACCTCTAAGATTAAGTCTGACCGCCAACCCATCACAATCACATCCATTAAACCTCAGTGGTACATCTCCATATTTCCTTGAAACCTCCAAAGGCAGTGACCCCACCACTTGCATGGGAACTTTCTGTTCCAGTGTCTCAGTTTGCTATTGTTTCTGAGAAAATTTTTCCTAACATCCTACTTGAACCTCACCTGGTGCAGATTGAGGCTGTTACTTCTCATTCTATTGCTGTTACCAGCAGAAGAGCTGACCCCTACCTCACCACAACCTTCTTTTAGGGGATTATGGGGAGCAATGAGATCTTCCCTGAGCT